CCGATCTTAATGTCGTAACTTCCGATCCGGTGGGGAGGGAGCGACATCAAAGGAGCGAAGTCGTTCAGGCACGGAAGAGCGGGTGAAGAGGAGAGAGGGATCGCACGAGAGAGATCAATCGGAGAAGAGGCCGAAGGCCACCTTTTCATGGGCATTTAACGACGCGAGGTGAGTCGTGCGCGCGACGTGGGGGATGCGACATCGAGCAGCAGAGATTGTGCGATGGACGGCTTCGGCAGAGCAGGTATGGTGTGCACGATCTCTCCTCCTCTCTCTCTTTCTTCTTTTTTTCTTATTCGCAGGTCAACAGTGATGGATGATGCCCTTCATGGCACCATCATAGTTTTAATCTAATTTTCTCTTCCATTCGATTATGATTCTTCATTTCCTTTGGATTAGACGAGCGAGTGATGGATAATTCCCTTCGTCGAACAATCCTTGTTTAATCCAATTTTCTTTTCCTTTAAATTAGGTTTCTTCATTTTCTTAGGATTAGACATGCTAGTGGTGAACAATGCCCTTCGTGACACTATCCTAGTTTAACCAGTTTTCTTTTCCTTTAGGTTAAAATTCTTCCTTTCTATAGGATTAAACGTTCTAGTCATACACAACACCCTTTGTGGCACCATACTACTTTAATCTAATTTTCTTTTCATTTAAGTTAGAATTCTTCCTTTTGTTAGAATTAGATGTGCTTGTTGTGGACAATGCCCTTTCTGGCACCGTATTAGTTTTATCCATTTTCTTTTCTTTTAAGTTAGGATTCTTCATTTCTTTAGGATTAGATGTGCTAAGGGTGGATAATGCCCTTCATGGAAACATCCTAATTTAATCCAGGTTTCTTTTCCATTACATTAGAATTTTTCCTTTTCATAATATTAGACGTGCTTGTGGTGGAAAATGCCCTTTGTAAAACCATCGTTGTTTAAACCGGTCTTCTTATCCTTTATGTTAGGATTCTTTCATTCGTTAGGATTAGAGGTGCTAGTGGGAGATAACGCACTTTGAGGCACCATCCTAGTTTAATAAAATTTCTTTTTCTTTTGGTTAGATTGTTTGATTTCCTTAGGATTAGATGTGCTAGAAGTCAATATGCCCTTCGCGACACCAAACATGTTTTAATCCAATTTCCTTTTCCCTTAGGTTATTATTCTTTATTTCCTTAGGATTAAACGTACTTTTGGTAGATAACACCTTTCATGACACCAACTTAATTTGAAACTAGTATTCTATTCTTTTAGGTTAAAATTCTTCCTTTCCGTCGGATTTTACATGCTAGTGGTGGACAATGCCCTTCGTGACACTATCCTAGTTTAATCCAGCTTTCCATTAGGTTATAATTCATTCTTTTCGTAGGATTAAACATTCTAGTCGTAAATAATGCCTAGTTTAATCAAATTTTCTTTTTCTTTTGGTTAAAATTTTTCTTTTCCTTGGGATTAGATGTGCTAGATGTGGATAATGCCCTTCGAGACACCAATCATGTTTTAATCCAATTTCCTTTTCCTTCAGGTTAAGATTCCTTATTTTCTTAGGATTAAATGTGCTAGTGGTAGATAACGCCCTTCATGGCACCATCCAATTTTAAAACTAGTGTTCTTTTCCTTTAGGTTGACAATGCCCTTCATCGCACCATCATCCTAGTATTTTCTTTTTATTAGGACTAGACGTATTAGTGGGGTGGATAATGTCCTTTATGGCACCATCCTAATTTTAATCCAATTTAATTTTCCTTTAAGTCAGGATATTTCATTTCCTTAGGATTAAGTCCTTTAATTTTTGTTTAGGTGGACAACGGCCTTTGTGGCACCATTCTTTTTTAATCTAATTTTCTTTTCCTTTAGGTTATGTTTCTTCATTTCCTTAGGATTAGACGTATTAGTGGTGGACAACACCCTTTCGTGGAACCATCCTTGTTTAATCAAATTTTCTTTTCGTTTAGGTTATGATCATTTCTTTCCATAAGATTAGACGTGCTAGTGGTGGACAATGCCCTTTGTGGTACCATCCAAGTTTGATCCAATTTTCTTTTCATTTAAGTTATCATTCTTTCTTTTCATAGAATTAGACGTGCTAGTGGTGAATAATGCCCTTCGTAGCACCATCCTAATTTAATAAAGTTTTCTTTTTGTTTGGGTTAGCAATCTTCCTTTCCTAAGGATTTGACGTGCAATTGGTGGATAACACCCTTTGTGGCACCATCCTAGTTTAATCTAGTTTTCTTTTCCCTTATGTTAGGAATCTTCTTTTCTTTAGAATTAGACCTGCTAGTTGTGGATGGTGCCCTTCGTTGCAGCATCCTAGTTTAATCCAGTTTTCTTTTCTTTTAGGTTAGTATTTTCCTTACCTCTGGATTAGACGAGCTAGTGGTGCCTAAAAACTTTCTTAGTACTATCCTAGTTTTAGTACAATTTTCTTTCCCTTTAGGTTAGCATTCTATCTTTCCTTAGAATTATACGTGCTAGTGGTGGATAATGCCCTTCGTGGCATCATCCTAGTTTAATCCTATTCTTTTCCTTTAGGTTAACACTCTTCTTTTTCTAAGGATTGGATGTTCAAGTGGTGGATAATGCCCTGCGCGGCACGATCATAGTTTAATCCAATTTTTTATTTCCTTAGGTTAGTATTCTACCTTTCCATACGATTAGACGTTCTAAGGGGTTACAGTGCCCTTCACGACACCATCCTAATTTAATCTAGTTTTCTTTTACTTTAGGTTATGATTCTTCTTTTTGATTAGACATGCTAGTGGTGGTCGATGCCCTACGTGGCACAATCCTAGTTTTAATTTAGTTTTCTTTTCCTTTAGGTTAGAATTATTTATTTTCTTAGAATTTGACATGCTACTGGTGAATAATACCATTGGTGGCACCATCCTAGTTTAATTCAGTTTTCATTTCTTTTTGGTTTGCATTCTTCCTTTCATAAGGATTAGACGTGCAGGTGGTGAATAATGCCCTTCATTGCACCATTCTAATTTAATCTAGTTTTCTTTTCCTTTAGACTAAGATTCTTTCTTTTCTTAGGATTAGACGTGCTAGTGATAGATAATGCCCTTCGTGGCCCCATCATAGTTTAACCTAGTTTTCATTTCCTTTAGGTTAGGATTCTTCATTTCCTTTGGATATAATGTGCTAGTGGTGGATAACGCCATTCCTAGTACCATCCTAATTTTATCCAATTTTTATTTCCTTTAAGATATGATTCTTCTTTTCTTTAGGATATGACATGTTAGTGGTGGATAAATCCATTCTTAGCACTATCCTAGTTTAATCCATTTTTTCCCCATTAGGTTAGGGTTTTTCTTTTCCGTAGGATTAGAAGTGCTAGTGGTGTATAACACCCTTCATAGCACCATCCTAATTTAATCCAACTTTCTTTTATTTTGGTTCGGATTTTACCTTTTCTTAGGATTAAAAGTGTTTATGATGGATTATGCCTTCTATGGCACAGTCCTAATTTTAATCTAGTTTTTCTCTTCCATTAGGTTAGGATTCTTCTTTTCCTTAGAATTAAACGAGTGGGATGGATAACACTGTTCATCGCATAATCCTAGTTTAATCCAATTTTCTTTTCTTTTAGGTTAGATTTCTTCCTTTTCATAGGATCAGACATGCTAGTGGTAGACAACGCCCTTCGTGGCACCATTAAAGTTTAACTCAGTTTTCTTTTCTTTTAGGTAGGATTTTTCCTTCCCGTAGAATTAGATGTTCTAGTCATGCACAACATCCTTCGTGGCACCATACATGTTTAATCTAGTTATCTTTTTATTTCGGTTAGAATTCTTTCTTTCCTTAGTGATGGGGACATCAGATTTCGACATGTGTACCATCGCCGTCGGCGCAGATCGACGGCTACGATCCAGAGCCTCTACTTCTGAGTTATTTACAGCTCATGTCATGTGTACTTTTTTTAGTTTTCCTAATTTGCCCCTGAGGGCATTAGTCTACTTATGTAGCCCCGAGGGCGTTTATGTCTTTCATTTTCTTTTAGTTTGAGCCCGACAACCGCGGAAGGGTCAATATTCTCCGGTCACCTTTCTTCGACGTCGGTTTCGACTTTGACGACACCGTCGAGGAATACTTGGAGAGGATTCTACCACCATTAGTGGAGTCCATCGACGACCACTTCTCTGTCTACACGTGGATCATTGAAGGCCGTCCACCCCCTCCGAATCCGGCTCCCTCCCCGGCGACGAGTCCCCTCAAGATCACTTGTCTACTCGTAGCGTCGCTAAGCTTGCTCACTGTCCTTTTCCGCTAAGCCTCCACTTCAAATTGAGTGACAGATCCTAAGGTGAAGGATCTAAATTTTAAATTTGGGGTTTTGTTATTTTTAGCTATTCGCATTACTTGAAGTTTTGATGTTATTTTGAAAAGCCTTCTAATCTCTGACTGTGATTTCTTGTTGTTACTTAATCATTCGTCTTCTAATTCTTTGACTTCAATTGATTACGCATAAAGTTTTGGTAGCAAGCTATGATTCAATATTTCTATTAATTTTAAGTGCAATTCACATTTCATCGCATGATTGATTCACATCATTTGTGGTATCAGAGCATGGCTAGCATGCTTTTCTTGTGCTAGAAGTTCCTAGGAAGTTAGTTATCATTTGTGTAGCTCACTTGCATGCATACCATTGCTTATTTCATAAGAATTTCCTGTTTCATTTTGCTGTCCGGAATTTTTCTGCATGTTGTTGTCATCATAATCAAATTGGTTCGCCACCCAAGTGTTTAGGTCACTTGCTACACTTGATATACTTGCTGTCCAGATCAATTCCTGCACTTTTAGAGACATCTAAGTGACCCGAAAGCCGTCCTAAAGTTGCTGTCCAGTGAAGTAAACCTATCCATAACTTTTAGAAAACTTAAATCCTTATTGTAAGTTGATGTCCGCTTCCAACCAGCAACTTATAGAAGCTTTAGGACCCTTCTACCTTAGTGTCTAGGTGCTGCCCACCATCCCGTTACCTATCCTAGTGACCCCTAAACTTTCCCCATGGATCCGCAGCATCTCCAAGCTACCTTAGACCTTATTTTGGGACAACTGGGTACCGTTACTCAGCAAATTCGCAACACCCAAACCGATCTAGCTGACTTTAGGCGCCACACGAGTGACCGATTAGATAATATCGAGCGTAACGGGAATCCTGCAATCTATACGCCATCAAGACCTCACTCACCTTATGGCGAAGACAACCGACCCGATCATGAACCCCCGCGAGATCCCGGACGTTTTCAAGACCATTACCAACGCAACCCAAGGCCACTTCAAGAGCCCATAGGGGACGACAACACTTGGAGAGACAACGACGCTCAATTACTGAAAAACATTAGGATTGATGCCCCAACGTACGACGGGACCCTTGACCCTCAAGTTTTCCTAGATTGGCTCAAGTCGATGGATAGCTACTTTAAATGGTACAACATCTCTGAAGCAAAGAAAGTCAGATTCGCTGAAATGAAACTCACGGGTCGAGCCAACCTTTACTGGACCAACTTGGAGGACATGCGTGAATCTCGAGGAGAACATCCGATAAGCGATTGGAGAACGATGAAACAGGAACTTAGGAGGAAATACTTACCACCTTCCTACTACCCTAAGCTTCTGGATAAGTGGAATCGGCTAACCCAGGGGAGCAAGCCTGTTAAAGATTACATCTCCGCCTTTGACGATTTCCTGATTCGTTGCAACGGCGAGGAATCTGCTACCCCAACACAAATCCTATCTATGTTTAGAGCTGGCCTTAGGGAAGATCTTAGGACTGAACTTTTTGCTAGAGGAATAGACACCTTAGAGGCCGCTTGCAGCCTGGTACTTGACCTAGAAGAGTCCAAGACCCACTCCCACACTAGGTAGTTTGATGCCCGACCTAACCCCTATCGAACTTCCACTGGCCAGACCCAAAATATATCCATAAACTCGATAGGTAGTCGACCCACTACCAGTTCGTTCCCACCTCGCCCGGACTCTAAAGGTAAAGCCCCCGAGCGCGATGCGCCCAAAACCAACTCAGGAACCAAATGTTATAGGTGTCATGGGTATGGGCACATTGCGTCCCAATGTTTCAGCTCATATAAGGTCACCATTATAGAAGAGGTTGATGACGACGAGGACAAACCTGAGACTGACCTAGTTCATCATGTTGATGAAGAAGAAGACTCCTTTACGGAAGAAGAACCCATTACCCTTCAGGTTGTTACATGCGCTTTGTCACAACCCAAGTTAAGCGATGATTGGCGTAGGACTTCCATTTTTCATACCTTTGTTAAGATTGGGGAAAAGAACTGCAAGGTTATCGTCGATAATGGAAGTTGTATCAATGCAGTCTCTTCTGCTATGGTTTCCAAGCTCAACCTCAAGATGACCCCTCACCCGAATCCGTATAAGGTTGCTTGTATCAACTCGACTACAATAGAAATTAAGGACCGTAGCCTCATTCCCATAGAGTTCGTGGGATATCAAGACAAGATTTGGTGTGATGTTTTGGCCATGGACGTAGGTCAAATTATCTTGGGTCGCTCATGGTTATTTGACAATGACGTTCATATCTATGGGAGGTCGAACACCTGCGTGTTCGAACACAACGGAAAGAAAATTAAGTTAATACCCTCTCAACCCAAGCCCCCCAAGACGAAAGCCAAGCCTACCCCAGCCAAACAAAGCAAAGGGCTACACCTCTTGACTGCTAAAGAAGTAGAAGATGAAATCACCCAAGGAGCACCTATGTATGCCCTAGTAGCTAGAGAAGTGGGTGAGGATCAAAAAGAGCAAATCCCCGAGGAAGTTAAACCCCTTCTTGAGAGTTTTGCTGATGTGTTCCCTGATGACTTACCTAACCAACTGCCACCCCTATGGGACATATAGCACGCAATAGATTCAGTGCCGGGAGCATCCCTACCAAACCTCCCTCACTACCGTATGAACCCCCCTGAGGGCATTAGTCTACTTATGTAGCCCCGAGGGCGTTTATGTCTTTCATTTTCTTTTAGTTTGAGCCCCCTTATATGAGGCATGATGCATTGTAAGTTGGGGAGTTTTTGATGAAATAAAAAGTTATCTTCCTTGTTCTCTTTGTGAGTGCATCCCCCATGATCTCTTCGTGAGTTCATAGGAAAAACTAGATCTCTCCGTGATTTCTAGGATTCGTTCAAATATTATAGTGTGGAGATAGGGCATTTTAAGGAGACTCGAGGTGAGGGAGGTTCAACGAGGATTCATTAAGGAGAGCCTTAGTCCGTGCGCTGTTCCTGCACTCTTAACTCCCAAGAAGGACGGATCGTGGCGGATGTGTGTTGATAGCCGCGCTATCAACAAAATCACTGTCAAGTATAGGTTTCCCATTCCTCGTTTAGATGACATGTTGGATATGATGACCGGAGCAACGCTCTTTTCCAAGATAGATCTTAAGAGTGGATACCATCAAATTAGAATCCGTCCAGGAGATGAATGGAAGACGGCTTTTAAAACAAAAAACGGGTTGTATGAGTGGATGGTTATGCCCTTTGGCCTTAGTAACACTCCTAGCACGTTCATGAGAGTTATGACTCAAGTCCTGCGACCTTTCTTAGGAAAATTTGTTGTGGTGTATTTTGATGACATCTTAATCTACAATCGCTCCGTAGACCTGCACTTACATCACCTAACTCAAGTATGTGAGGTTTTGAGGAAAGAATATTTGTACGCTAACCCAAATAAGTGTGTATTCCTCACGGACCGAGTTACCTTCCTAGGATTTATCATATCTCCACAAGGAATCTCAGCAGACCCCGAGAAAGTCCGAGCAATTAACGAGTGGCCTGAACCCAAAAATATCATAGATGTTCGGAGTTTCCATGGATTGGCCACCTTTTACAGGAGGTTTATCAGGAATTTTAGCACGATAGTAGCACCCATAACTGATTGCCTGTAGAAAGGAGAGTTCCGTTGGACTGTGAATGCAAGCAACACTTTTGAGGGTATTAAACGAAAAATGGTAGAAGCCCCTGTCATGCGTCTACCTGACTTTTCAAAAGTCTTTGAAGTAACTTGCGACGCCTCAGGGATTGGAATAGGTGGAGTCCTATCGCAAGAAGGCCATCCCGTGGCCTATTTCAGTGAAAAGTTAAATGACATACGTCAGTGATACTCTACCTATGACAAAGAGTTTTATGCGATTATCCAAGCCCTTAGATATTGGAGGCATTACCTTCTGCCACAAGAATTCGTGATATTTTCGGACCACGAGGCTCTACGATACATTAATTCCCAAAAGAAACTCAATGCCCGCCACGGCCGTTGGGTTGAATTCCTGCAAGAGTATGCTTACACGATTAGACACAAAGCAGGGACTGAAAATAAGGCGGCTGATGCCCTCAGCCGAAGAATGATGACTACCCAGAAAATGAGGATGGAAGTAATTGGTTTTAAGCGACTAAAAGATGACTATTTGGACTGCCCCGATTTTAAAGAAACTTACACCCTACTGACTAATGGTGGTGGACCATTAATAAATGATTTTCTTTTGGAGGATGGCTATTTGTTCAAGTCCCAAAAACTCTGTATTCCTAACACTTCTCTGCGAGAATTTCTAGTATGAGAGTTGCATGCGGGAGGACTAGCCGGCCACTTTGGTCAATCCAAAACTATTGCCGCGCTAGAGAATCGATTCTATTGGCTCACCCTTAAACGCGACGTTGGCAAACTTATAAAGAGATGTCACACCTGCCAGCTTGCCAAACAACGAAAGCAGAACACGGGCCTTTACACTCCACTCCCAGTGCCAAATTGCCCTTGGCAGGATGTAAGCATGGACTTTGTATTAGGTTTACCCATGACCCTCAGAAAGCACGATTCCGTTTGTGTTGTCGTCGATAGGTTTTCAAAGATGGCCCATTTCCTACCCTGTTCAAAAACTTTCGACTCATCCTGGGTTGCTAAGCTATACTTTGATGAGATTGTAAGACTTCATGGGTTACCTAAGACTATTGTATCTGACAGAGATGTTAAATTCACAAGTTATTTCTGGAAAACACTTTGGCATAAGATGGGTACAAAATTATAGTTTTCGATAGCCTTCCACCCTCAGATTGATGGACAAACCGAAGTTTAGGAAACCTCTTAAGAACGCTAGTTGGGGAAAACCTTAGAGACTGGGATTCTAAGTTACCGATTGCCGAGTTTGCCTATAATAATTCTGTCAACCGAACCACTGGTCTGAGTCCTGCCGAGATTGTGTATGGTTACAAACCTAGGCAACCTATAGATCTTATTCCCATGGGTCCTAAGTCTAGGTCATCAGAGTCAGCATCTGCATTTGCATCGCATTTACGAGAATTGTACAAAGAAATTAATAAAAGAATTGAATTGAGCAATGCTAACTATAAACTTAATGCGGACCTCAAGAGAAGGTTCAAAGAATTTGATGTGGGTGATTATGTGATGGTTCGGATTAATCCGGAGCGGTTCCCGCAAGGGACCGTTAAGAAGTTACACGCGAGAAGCGCGGGCCCTTTCAAAATAATCTCTAAAATTAATAGTAATGCTTATGTGCTTGACCTTCCCGAAGGTTTTAACTTTAGCCCCACTTTTAACGTTGAAGATCTTGTAACCTATGAAGGTCCAGAGTTTAACCCACCCAACCCATTACTTGATGAGCCTTGTGAGTCCCCACCTGGTGAGATCCCTATCCAACCTCCACTCCCAAAACTTCCCACTTTACCTACTGCGGAAAGGATCGAGGCAGTGCTTAGCGATGAAATCATTTCTACTAGAGATGGTGGTCGTCGAAGGTACTTAGTTCAATGGGCAGGAAAGCCAGAGAAGGAGAACGTGTGGATCGACCGAGATGAGCTACAGAGATTGGATCCAGACCTGCTGGAGTGGTACGAGGCTTCTAGAGACACTCACTCGACGGGGTCGAGTTCTCTCCCACCTCGGGAGAATGATAGGGACATCAGATTTCGACATGTGTACCATCGCCGTCGGCGCAGATCGACGGCTACGATCTAGAGCCTCTACTTCTGAGTTATTTACAGCTTATGTCATGTGTACTTTTTTTAGTTTTCCTAGTTTTCCCCTGAGGGCATTAGTCTACTTATGTAGCCCCGAGGGCGTTTATGTCTTTCATTTTCTTTTAGTTTGAGCCCCCTTATATGAGGCATGATGCATTGTAAGTTGGGGAGTTTTTGATGAAATAAAAAGTTATCTTCCTTGTTCTCTTTGTGAGTGCATCCCCCATGATCTCTTCGTGAGTTCATAGGGAAAACTAGATCTCTCCGTGAGTTCTAGGATTCGCTCAAATATTATAGTGTGGAGATAGAGCATTTTAAGGAGACTCGAGGTGAGGGAGGTTAAACCAAAGCTCTCAGATTTTTACATTTTTTTTTCTGTTTTCCCCTGATTCCGCCGACCCCTTTAAATCCTCCCCACCGCCGGCTTGCCTTGCCCTCCCGCCGACCGGCTGGAATCCTACTGCCGACCCCTCCTCCAGACCACCTCCCGCCGACCACCTGCCGCCTCCAGAGTTCAGAGCCCATGCAGCCGGCCCTTCCTGTTGAATTCCCTGGTTATTTTGAAATTCAACCATGAATAACTTGCCTAATTAAGACTCTTAAATTTAGGAGCTAATTAAGGGAGTTATTATTGCTAAAAATCAAAATTCCCTCTCAATTGGCACTAAATTGGGAGTTACATGATTTGATTAAAATCTGAAACTTAAATTCATATTTTAGTTAATGATTGTGGTCCCCTCCCATTAACAAAATCTGCCATCTCTCTCCTCCATACATGGCCGGCCATACACCCCTTTTTATTTCTCTTTTAATTTTCTTAATACACCATTAACCTTCCCCTCACCTTAATTCCCAAATTCAAATTCTGAAATTGAAATTAAGAATCCGCCAATTTCTGAAATCTTAATTAAATCTCAGATTTTTTATTTTCCCCTTTCCCCCAAAGCTCCACCCGCCCTAGCCTCTCTCCAACCCGTGACCGGCCTCCCGCCTTGGCTCACGGCTTGCCTCCTTGTCTTCCCTGTTTGGGTTTCGTCGTTCACTACCGCCGTGCATGGATGAACCCGAATGGAATTTCGGATTTGAATACGACAACAACGGACGAGTCGACATCCTCCATTCACCCTTCTTCGACGTTGGATTTGACTTTGACGACACCCCCGAAGAGTACTTGGACCGGATCTTACCAACCCTCGTGGACTCCATCGACGATCATTTCTCCGTCTACACGTGGATCATCGAACCCGGCCTCCTTCCCGGCGACAAGTCCTCTCAAGATCACTTGTCTACTAGTGGCGCGCTAAGTCTGCTCATGGTTCTCTTCCGCTAGCCTTCACTTTAAATTGAGTGATGGATCTTAAGGTGAAGGATCTAGATTTTAACTTTGGGGCTTTTGTTTATTTCTAGCTATTGGCATTATTTAAAATTTTGGTGCTATTTTGTGAGGTTCTTCAATTCTCTACTTGTAACGTATTGTCATTATTTTAATCTTCAATGTCCTATTCTTAAACCAAACTTGAGTAAGCAAGAAGTTTTAATTAGTAAAGCGAAATCAATAATTTTATTAACTTCTCATGTGCAATTCTTATTTAATCGTATGTTGTTTCACATCACTTAGGATTAAATGTGATAGTGGTGGCCAATGTCCTTTCTAACACCATACTAGTTTAATCCAGTTTTCTTTTTATTTTAAGTTAGGATTCTTTATTTCCTTATTATATGTGCTAAAAATGAATAACTCCCTTCATGGCAAAATCATAGTTTAATCCAATATTCTTTTCCATTACATTAGGATTCTTCCTATTCAAAAGATTAGACGTGCTTGTTGTGGAAAATGCCCTTCGTGGCACCATCCTTATTTAATCCAATTTTGTT